TGACCCAGGATTGTGTTATCCACTGTCCTTGGGGAAGGCATCCACCTGCTCAGGGCCTCCAGTTACCTGGTTGAGGGCACAAGGATGCCCAGGGGGCCCAGGCTTGCCAGGCCCCAATCCCAGTTCTCCTGCCTTTGCTTTCTGACTGCCTGACCCTAGGAGCAGGGGAGCAGAGCTGGCCTCTCTTCCCAGACAAGGACAGTGCTCAGTCCCCTCCTCCTCACCCCAGCTCAGTGGGAAGCAAGTATAGGATACTCACATGTACACACTCACTGTTTTATTAGCTGTGAGGGCCTGGAGGCCAGGGGTGGGCTCTGGAGACCTTAGCCCCCAGCTCCTGGCTCACAGACCCTGTGGCTGCCTTCAGCAATGGGTGATCGACAGGCTGGGCTGGTGGCGCCCTGGCAGGCCTGCCCTGGCAGCTGCTCCCACAAGGCGAGGCCTGTGTGCTCGCGTCGGAGAATTAATTAGGCTGCATTCCTCTTGCAGGGCCCTTGGCGGGCCTGCGCATGGCCCCTCTGGAGCTACTGAGGGCTCTTGGCTCAGATCCCTGGCAGGCCAAGGGGAGGCTGGCACTCTGCTTCCACTATAAGGGGCTGGGAGGGCTGCAAGCACTGACCAGGGAGGTCCAGCAGGAAGCCAGTGGCCAAGGCTAGCTCCCGTCCTGGTCCCGCTTTACTTAGCAGCCTTCACTGGCTCCGCATCACTCTGGCTCAAAACCTTGGCATTGGCTGCAGTTCCCAGCTTGGCTCCTGGCTGCCCCAGGCTCTGGCTAGACAGACCTCATGCCAGGAGTCCAGCTGTGCTGTTCTTCCCTCTGCCCTGGGATGTGCACCCCTTGTCCCAGGCCAGCTCATCATACCTGTGCCCTCTTGTCCTCCCAGCCAGTCCATGAGAGCCTTGAGGGCAGAAGGGCAGTGTCCAGAGGCATACTGCACAAACAGCAGGTATTTCTACCAGGGTGAGGCTGTGGGGATGAGTGGGATAATGGCTGCTGTAGGGTTCCCCTGCCCAGATAACTCCACCTTCCTACAGCACCTCACACACCCTTGGAGGGTGCTCTGTTTATTCTGGGCTGCTCTTCCGTCTCCCTCCACCCTCCTCCTTTACTTGATTGGCTTCCTGGGAGATTAGTCTAGGTGTCACCTCCTCAAGGAAGCCACCTTGGGTGTCCCCTCCCAAGAAATTCCATCACAGGGTAGATGTTTCCTTGTCAGAGAGCTCAGGATAGACACTAAGAGCCTGGGGTTTAAATCACAGCTTAGCCACATCCTAGCTGTAGAAGTTGAAGCACGTTATATAGCCTGTGTCGCATTACTTCTTTTTTTTTCAAGAGGGTTTATTGATTGCTTTGAAAGGCAAGGAGACAAAGAGAGAGAGACACACACAAAGAGAATTAGAGCTCTTCCATCCACTGGTTTACTCCTCAAATGGCCTCAACAATCAGATCTTGGCCAGGCCCAAGGCAGGAGCCATCCACATCTCCTATGTGGGTGCACACAGGACCCAAGAACTTGAGCCACCTCCCACTGCTGTGTCAGGTGCATGAGCAGGGAGCTGGAAGGGAAGTGCAGCTGCTGGGCTGGAAGCCCTGCTCTGATGTGAGATGCCAGCATCACTGTACCAGCACCTGCTGTTATCTCTTCTATCCAGTGGGAATGATGGTGTTGGAATCTGTTGCATGAGACTGCAGGAAGAAACTGAGGAGTTAAACAGCAGAAAGTACTTAGTAAGTGTTCAGTAAAAGTTGGCCATTAATTTTATCTGAAGATGGAGCAGTGCTCTCTTGATGGCTGTGTCTGTCTAGTTCCCAGGAGCTTCCCAGGAGGTGATTATTCATAACTGTGGAATGAATGGTGGCCACATTCCAACCAGTTAGTGCTTCGATAGGCTAATGACTTTTCTGCACTGAAAACTCCACTCCCTGGATGCTATTTTCTGAGGGTGGAAGCAGAGAGCACTCGGAGAGCTGGGTGGTGGGGTGGAATGGGGTGGACGGCCCAGGGCCTGCCTGCGGCCTCTCTTGCTGGGCCTGGTTGGGTTTCAAGCTGCAGAGCCCCAGATGCAGGAGTAGCTCACACTGTGCCTCTGCTCTCCTGTGATCCCAATATGTCTGGCTCAGCCCAGTGCCTTCTACTGGCCTATGTTCCAGTCTCAAAGACCACAGATTTAACTCAAAAAGCCTTGGAGGGAAAACCCTCTTGCTAGATGTTAACTGAGAAGGCAAGGAGACGGGAGGCTTTTGCCCTGTAGGCCTCCAACATCAGATTCTTTGCTCCCCTGGTTCTACCTGACCTTGCGGCTGTACCCAAGTCCTTCTGTGTTTCTTCCCAAGCCAGAGCCCAGCTTGGGGGCCACAGCTGCCTGTACTGTACTCCAACTGTGAACACAGACATAGTCCAAGGTAGGCACGACCCTGTGGCCCAGTGCGGAGAAGCAGCTGGCTGGATGAGGGTCAGGGCGGGGCCCCCTAAGGTGCCCAAGCTACAGGTTTGCATTTCTTGCGATGAAGGATCTAAGGGACTCAGCTTCACCCCTACCTGTACCTGCCTCCTGGGCCACCTCTCTTCCCTTTAATCATCTCTGTTGCACAATCATTTGGGTCACTGATCTCTGAACCCCGGCCAGGACTCTGGGGCTCTATGCCAAGGGCAGTGGGCACCTGCCTCCCTGGGCCTCCAGTACCATCTCAACTAGGACCCCTCAGGCTCCTGCCAAGCCTGCATGGCAGCTGGGAGCAGCAGGATGCCTGGTGGTTGTGGGACTGGGCAGGCTGAGAACAAGGAGGTAGGTGGCTTGGGAGCAAAGTCACCCTAAACTCTCACAAGTCACAGTGCATTCTGGCTGGGGAGCCTCTTGCTGCCTAACTCAGCTCAGAGCCAGAACCTGGTCTCTCTCTGACTGCACCTGAGCCTCATGCCAGTCACAACTCTTTCCCTGGCAACTCTCTTCAAAAAAGCCTGCTCCTTGGGGACCCTTAAGCAACAGCCAATGGCTGGGTGGGTAGTGGGTGGGGCAGCCTCAGGGCCACCTCAGTGTCCAGGCTTGAGAGAGGCATCGGGGGCCCAAGAGACCACAGGAGAAAGCCTGGACTGCTCAGCCTAGACTCTACCCCTAGTGCTCCCAGTGCGGGAATGGGGTAGGAGAGAATCCTCCCCAGGGGCCTCCTTTGCCACCATCCCTACATGCTGGTACTATGCCTTGATCCCTGGACCCTTGCACTACATCAAGGCCCCTGATAGTTTGACGGAACTGCCTGCCTCCCCAGAGGCTAGTGGAGGAGCTCAGCTCCAGCACTGACCTACTAGGACTCTTACCCCCTACCCGGAGAGTGGGAATCCTTTTCTGAGTTCGGATGGAGGGTCTGGGACTCAGAAAGAGGAGGAGCTTGCTTGAAGGTGATTCAGGAACTCAGTCACTAATGTTCTTTCCTGTGCATCCGCACTCCAGGCTCTGCGGCCAGGAAGGGCTGCATTTGGATTCTGAGGCTGTCACGCGCTTGCTGTGTGACCTGAGGAAGGTCACTTGGCTTCTCTTTGCATCATGAAAATAAGGAAACGATCCAGAGCCCTATCTCAGAAGATGAGGTGAGTTGATCCAGATAAAATCTGTGATAGCAGTGCACAGTAGACACTCAGAGCATGTCAACATGATGGTCTTCCATGAGAGGCAGGTGCAAAGCAGACAGAGCTGGGCAGGTGCACTCTATGTGTGGCTTCATGCATCCGGTTTCCCTGAGAGCTGGCTTGGGCCACATGGATATGTGCTGGATGCAGGCAGCAGGAGCACCCCTGGTGGCATGCTGTCCCTAGAATCCTGGGGAGCTGCTTCTTGGTCTTGGCAGAATTGGCAAACCCAGTGAGACAGTCCTGGACGTTTTGCTTTAGCACATTGTAGGAGGGCCCTGCTGGAGGAACCCTGGCAAGGGCAAGGTCAGGGCTAGGTTGTGGCTCCACCTCAACACCTGTGCTGACCTCCAGAGCCATATGCAGCCTTATTACCCCTCAGGGGCAAGCTGAACACTGAACACACAACCTGGGGCCTCACATTCATCTCCTGGGGACTGTGGCTGCTGCAGCAGAAGGTGCTCTGCATACTCCATGGTCTGAGCTTCTTTTCCATGTGCCCTTGGCAGAGGCCTTGGGTTCCTGGTCTGGAATACAGATCCTGGAAATCTGTAGTCATAGCTGCAGTTGGCCACTGATGAGTAGGGCCGATCAAAACCCAGAGAGGACAGGTCACATGCAGAAACTCTAAGTCAGGTAGGAGGGAGCCACCTGCCCAGCCCCTTTCTCTACTTCCTATGCCCCCTAACTTTCTAGCAGCCCATTCCTGAGAGATGCTCCCTATCCCTGTTCAGCCAAGACAAAATATCAGAGTTCCAGTTCCTTATTTATTACAAACACAAGTCCCAAGGTCATTAATGAGGGTCTAAAAAATACATTAAAATAAATAGCGTTTTCAAAGTTCTCTGAGCAAATAAGTTATGTACAGACAGATGAGGCATGCACAATGGCAAGTGGGTCTCACCAGGAGTGTCCCAAGGGAACAAGGGCACAAGGATGCTGGTAGGGCGAGCCCAGGAGGGCAAAGAGGGTCCTGAGGGCTCTCATCCAGCTTCTAGGATTGGCTTCGGCTTGAGTTCTGCCACTGCAGGCTGCTGCTGCTGGTTCGTGGTCCAATAGGGAGGATCCAATGTGTAAGTTTTCATGCATTTTCCACATGATTCCTTCCAGGAGCAGGGCTGTAGACTGACAGCAAATGCCAGGAGGCGGCTCTGTAGCCTGGTGGCTGAGAGCTTTCCTGGGTAGTGTGAGGGCATGGAGATGCTCAGAGGGAGGCTCCTCACTGGAGGGCTTGTGGCAACCCCAGCCCAGGGGCTCAGCTGGCTGGGACCAAGGAGTATGCCCAGGGAGCAGGTGAAGATCTCCCATGAGTGCTGGGCGGCCCCTCTCCTTCTGTGTCACACAGCTTCCTTCTTGGCACTCACAGCATCGGGGCTATCTCTTTCTGCTCCTGGAGTGTGTGGCCCTGGGCTCCCTTGTCACGTCTCGCTGTTGTTCAGCAAAGCGAATCTTGGCTGCAGAAACGTCCCTGGGAATTGAGAGGGGTCAGGTTAGTCCCTTGAGGAGACAGGACTCACCCAAGAGCTCCTCACAATGGTTGTGGGAGGAGAGGAGTGGTGGGACAGGCCATACCAGGGTTAGATGCTTCTCTGTCCACAGCGGCTTTGACAAAGCTGATGTTCAAGCATTGCACGGCCATGTGACAGTACAGGTGCCCAAGACTGGCCCGGAGTCTCTACTCCTTTGTTCAGGCCACGCCTTTCCCACAGCCCACCTCCTCCCAAACTCCATCCACCCTGATCCTACCCATTCTCTAAGATCTGGCACAAGGTGGACCATTTCAGATGAATCTGGGTTCTAAGGTGACCTTGAGCCCACCTAGACCTTGATGGTCTCTTGGCTGCTAGGAGCTAGCTTTGGTTCTTAGTTCTGAGGCCTTGGGCAAGGGACTCAGACTCTCTGGGGCCTCTGCTTGGCCTGAACCTCTGGGCACAAGCGCCAGGTTGGTCCAAGCCAGCTCTGGGTATACCAGAAAGTATGGTACATGTGTGAGGCTGTTTCTTTCACCCTCAGGCAGTTCCTAAAGATGTGGTGGGTCCTGCCCCACTTACTGCTATACTATACCTTCCCCCAAAGATGGGTGACCCTGAGGGGCCATCCTGTAGTCCCCAACGCTGGCCAGCTCCAACATGCCATCAGTTAGAGGCAAGAGGCTGACAGCTCCAGGCTGCCCTCACCTGTGAGCCAGGCCCTGCTGGACTCAGAGGGTATGTGTGTGTGTGTCCACTCCTCAGACATCATGCTATCACCATGCTAGTTAATTGCTTTGAAAATAGAAAGCTGTATCAGAGAAGTGGAGCAGAAGGCTGAAGGTCACATAGCTTGCTTGTGGCAAGGCCAAAGGGAAGCCCACATCAGACTGCCTCTGCTTAGCAGCTGCCCAGCGAGTTTTAATCTCAAGTTAGGGCAGCTAGACACCTCCCATGTGCCAACCTCAAGCCTGGTCAGGAGGCGGCATGGACAGAGACCCAGTGTGGGCCAGGGAGTGAGAGCAGGCTGGGCAGTCAGCCCCTCTGGCACCCAGTGTGTGAGGCATGGCTGTCTCAGACCCTGCTGAGATGAGCAATTGTGGGCTTCCCAGCCATAGGTCCACAGACTCTCCACCACCAGAGCGTGGTGGCCGAGAACAGAGGTTCTAGCCTCAGCGGGGTGCACTGTGTGCTCTGTGACTCTGAGCAAGTGGTTTCACTTCTCTGAGCTCCCTTGGTCACCCAGTCTTGCCGCATGTGTCTGGCATTCAGAAGGTGCCCCATGGGCACAGGTGCTCCTCACCTGAGCCTCTGTAGGAGCTTGCCTGGAGTGGACCACGTCTTGCCAGTTTGGAATGTGTTTGCCAGGGACTGGCTGTCAGGGACCACCACGGCTTCGGTCCTGTGGGAAGAGCACCAGGGGCCCAAGTGAGGGGCTGTCCAAGGCCCTGAAGTTGCCTGGCTGCTGGCCCAGCCCAGCCCCTACCTCACCCCGCTGCCCTCGGGGGCAGATCCATTTCTAAGTGCTGTGCACCTGGCTCCCTCCTTTCTGCAGGTGGAGTGCAAGCTGAGGAAAACTGAGCTGCCGGGAATGTGTTTTTGGCCTCAGAAAGAGGCCTTCCCAGAATCGGGCCACCTGTGGATGTGGGGGAAACTGAGGCACAGCCCAAGCTCCTAGGAGGAGTTTCTCGTAAGCCACCCTGGGAACTGGAGCCTGGGGTTTTGATGACAGCTCCAGCTTTCCCAAACAGTTCCTTGTGTGTGTAGGAGGGAAGGGACAAAGTCTCCCTCCTCCTTTACAGAAAAGCCGACCTAAGGCCTAAAGGACAATTTGACAAAGCACTCTACCCCCCGCCCCCACCCCCCACACACCCAGGAACTCTGGGGCCACCCTGGCATACTGCCATGGTTCCCCCAGCTCCAGCTGCAACTCTGAAAGCCCTGGACTCAGGTCGTAAACCAGAGTAGGGAGGGGGAGCTTGCACTCACATGACAAGTCCTATGTGTGTTCTCTGCATTGGTACCACCCCAGTTATCGCCTGGGGAGAACCCCTCCCGTTCACCCCATATGCTCTCAGAAACCCACAGCCACGCAGCAGGAGGCTCTGCGGGGTGGTTCCTGGGTTCTTGCAGAAAAGCACGCCACCCACACAGCCCGGACAGCCAAGGGCCCTCATTAGCCACTCCCCTCCTCTGCTCGCCAGGGCAGGTCCAGGCCAGTGGCTACTACTGCCTTTACAAGCCAGGTGCCCACTTACCGGGACCTTCGGTGACAGAAGGTGGTACAGACAGGGTCCCCAGCACTGGAGCACTCGCAGCGCTTTGGCAGGGAGCGGCGCCGGCGTCTTGGCGGGTTTCCCAAGCCGTAAGGAACTGTCTGTCTGTAGGCAGGCAGCCAGCAAGGTGGTGGTGTTGTGGGGCGGGGAGAGAGAGAGTGAGGGAGGAAGAGAGGGAGAAAGAGAGAGAGAGAGTATTAGCTAAGTGTCCGCCATTGGGGAGCAGGGACCTTCCACAACACAATGGCACATCTTCCAGGATATCAGGGCAAATGCGACCATTCCTTGACCTCCAGGAGTCCCACTATGAAAGCCACAGGTTCCTCTGTCTGCCCTAGGGTCCTGTGCCTCTGTGCTAGCCCTTACTGCCCCAAGCTTGGGCAAGAGGGGAGTTAGAAGCCCTTACTGCCCCTCTTCGCACCTGGACAGGAACCTGGCTGGACCTCTATTTCTAAAAACAGCTCTAAGCTAGCCCTGGAGGAAGGCAGGATCCTCCCTCCCTCCACCTAATTGAAGTAATCACTCAGTTTCCCTGGCTCCACTGGGCAACTCATGCCTGGAGGGGTGACCAGTTGTTTCTTAGAGTTTTACCTTTAAAAAAAAGTGTGTATGTGTGATCAGGTGGGATTGATTTCAAATCAAGTGTCTCACCAAGGCGGGGCAGGGACAGGGCAGGAGCCCTGTGCCGGTTGGACCAGCACCTCTGGGTGACAGCTAATTTTAGACAGCACGGCTGGAGCTGTAAGGACTCCAGGTAGACCAGGGACTGGCACAGTTCCCATCCAGGGAGTGCCTGGATGCGGATTAGCTACACACACACACACACACACAAGCTTACGTGCAGGGTTCCTGCTGCCTTCTGCAATTTAGGAAAGGTGAAAAAAAAAAAAAAAACCCAACACAAACACACACAGGAACTTCAGCTTGAGGTATGCAGTGGCCTGGAGGCAGCGCCAGTACAGGCAGAGCAGACGGCGCTGGCTCCCACCCTGGCTCCGCTGGGTATCACAGGGTGGATTTCTCATCTGTCACTGGGGGGACGACAGCGTGTCTTGCCTCCTGGGGAGGATGGGGGCTCATGGGAGGCCACTGCACGTGCAGTACTTGGCGGGCGGCCCAGCCCAGCCAGGACGTGGCGCTGTCACTCGTAGTATTTTTCTTGGAAACCCATGAGGTGGCAGTCTGGCAGGGCAGGTGTGTGTGTGTGTGTGTGTGTGTGTGTGTGTGCGTGCACACGCGTGTTCCAGCACCCACCCACCGACCCAGGCACAGCCAGCCAAGAACTCCTTCCTGTGTGATTTTCAGACGCACCTCGCCTCCCTGAGCCTCACTACTCTGATCTGGGAAAATGGAGCTAGCATTTATTCCTGGCTGCCAAGAGCAGCCCTCCACGTGGCTGGGGAACTGTGGTGATCAGCAGCTGCCTGTCCCCTTCTGGAGGCCAAGAGAGAGGCTGACTTCTTTGGCATGCCCAGTAGCCCCTGCCTGGGGCCCCCACCCACCCAGACTCCACAGATGTTTACCCAGGAGTGTTCACCCAGATGATGTCCAAGTGGCAGAAGTAGACGCACTCCTTGTCGAGCCAGGAGCTGCAGGAGCAGCGACGGAACCGCAGATGGGTACCACGAGCACGGGCTGAGGATGCTGGCTGCTCTAAGGTGGCCTTCCCTGCACATGGAGGAAATAGAGGTGGAGGGGTTGGTTAAGGCACCTGGCACAGTCCAAGATATGGAGCCCCTGTTTGGTCCCTCCTCTTGTACAATCGAGGAAGCTGGCACTTTCCCTGCTTGGGAGCACCGGGCCTGCCTGGGGAAGCACCCAGCAGCATGGTGGGAAGGGCTGGTAAATGTTCATGCAGCGGCTGCCCCAGGCTTGTAGCACCTCTGCTCCCCATGCCTGCAGCATCCCACCCCTGCATGCCTTCTGCTGGCTTGGGAGGGACAGCGGGCCCCGTGGGGAGACATCTGTGGTCAAAGGGCAAAAGCTACAGCAGTCGGAGAGGCCAGGGTAACTCACCTTCATGCAGGGCCACGAGCAGGGCCAGAGCGACAGAGCACCAGGCGGTGGGCATGAACACCATGGCAGCAGCAGTGGGGTGCGTGGCTGGACCGGAGCAGGGAGCGCCTCTTGATGGTGTCTCACAGCTAAGCTGAGCAGACAGCTCATTGCCTTGGTGCCCTGCTCCTTCTTATAACAGCAGGCACTGCGCCCCGCCCCTGCTGGGCCAGCCCTGCCCCGCTGCACCGGCGGGCAGCCAGCCAGGGACACCGCCTCCTCCCCGGGGCGCCCGGCCCGCCCTAGCCTCCATGGGGCCAGGAGAGGGAGGAGGAGGCTCTGCTCCTCCCTCAGCACCCGGAGCCCCTCTGCGAGTCCTATGGCTGCCTGCAGGCCTGGGAGGCCCCCTCTGGGTCCCGCTGAACATTCTCAAGTCACCCCCAAATGGTTTCAAACTCCTCCTCCACTTATCTGTGGCTTCCCTGCAGGTCTTAAACAGGACTAAGACCCATTTTTTTAGGAGACCCTGCCACGTGTCCTGCTTGTCCTGTGTCAAGCAGGCTGAAGGCACCCCTGTTTTATGGGAGGAATCAAGAGGCCAATTCAAAGATGTGTGGCTTTGGGCAAGTTAGAGCCCTCTCTGGGCCTGCTTCCTTCAGTAAAGGACACATTTCACACTTGACCTCTGACCAGCCTGGGGCTGCCTTGTTCCTATCTCACCCCAGAAGTGCCCTCTGCCCCCACCCCTCTCACTCTCAAGATCCCTTCCAGACGTGGCTTAGCTGTGTAGCCACAGCCAAGGACACCCCTCTCGGGCCTCAGTCTCCTGGTTTGCAAGGAACTGTTGGTTCCCTTAAGACTGAAAAGGTGACTCTGGGCTCCCTCTCAGAAGGATGCCAGTGGAAGGGCATAGCCAGTGTCCCTTGAGTGGACCCAGCAGCAGACCCTGGTTCACCTCAGCGCAAGGAAAGAGAGGGACTTCCTGGGGCCATCAGCCACTGATCCCTCTGCAGACTAGAAACCTGGCTGAAGGCAAGATAGGAACGTGCCACCAATGCTGAATTCTGCAGCTTGTGGGACCGTGCAGCTGGGATCTGGCAGGAGGTTACCTCCTGTGCCTGCTGGGTGCTAGCTCAGAAGTCTGTCTACTTCTAATGTCTTTTCTGGGCGCCTGTCCCCAGGAGAAGACCTTCTTGTTTCTGGGAATCCCCAGGCCTGTGCCTCTTGTGCCTGCCTGACTCATGGCATTGACCTTATCTCCATAGCCATCTCAAGGGCTGGGACTCTGGAGAAGCCGGCCCTGCACGTGGCAGGGGCCTTGTGAGTCTCCCTCAGGGGAATGCAGCCCAATGTGCCTGCCTTTGAACTCTGGGTCCCTGGCTGCCCACTCTTGAGGTCTTGTGCATCGTGTCTCTTGCCTCTTCCCCGCACGCAGGGGCACGACCACAAAGAACAGCGGTGCTGCTTCTTCCTGTGTGTGTATGTGTGTGGGGAAGTGTATGTGTGCACTCGAGTGACGGGGAAGCTGGGCAGAACTGGCAAAGGGCAATGCCTGTGGGTAAGGTCTTCTCTCCCTGAAGTTATAGGAAGCAAGAGAGTAAGCATTTCCTGAGCACATGCTGAACGCCCCGATCACCTGCGACTCCCTCCTCACCCACCACCCCAGGAGGCTTCTGGGATGTCAACTTTGTGATTGTCCACAAGGAGGCTCAGAGAGGCCATACAGTTATCAGCTGGAAGCCTCCATCTGGGTCTTGCAAGCAAACCCCAAGCAACTCCCTCTGCAGGGCTAGTGAGCCCCCTGTGTGGCATCTGTCAAAGAACTCAGCATTCCTGGAATGAAGTGGCAATGCCCACCCTCATGCCGGTTAGTCTATGGGAGCATCAAATACAGGGTACAGCAGAGTGGGGGGCTGATGGGGAATGCAAACTTCTGTATTGTGAAGGGAAGACAGTGTTGAGAAGAGGAGGGGTCGGGAACAAGGAGAAACAACAGGGCCACCGGTAGGGAGTGCATAGGAGAACGAGGAAGCTGTGTGCAGCAAGAAAGAAAGAACTCGGGATTTGAAAAAGCAAAAGAGAAAGACCTTGTGGAGTAAGAGCTAGGATGTCTAATCTCTACACAAATGCAAAGGCCTGCCTGGGACAATAGGGGCCCCAGAGGCGCCAGGGCTGGGGAACATAATAGAAGAATTACATGAACCTGGAGACTGGAGCCCTGGCTGCTGTGAGAAGGGGATGACGACAGGGCAGGGGCCACTGCCCTGGCCTCGCGGGGTCAGCACAGGGAGGTACGAGCTGTGTCCATCTCCAGTTTCTCTCTTTCCTGGGCCTTGGCTCCCACTGAGCCACCAGGACTCCTGGGAAGTAGAGAGGCCTGTCTGCCCCTAGGTGGGAAACTGAGCGAGTCTAACACTTAGGGGATGAAGCCATTCCAGGAAAAGGGCTGCCCCACGGACAGGACTTGGTTTTCAGGTAGAGGAAACTGAGCTGAGTTAAAAATAGCTGGTCCCGGCCCCCTTGGGTGTCTTAGCCCCAGCCCTGATGCTCATTCAGCCCTTCCTGGTTGTTCTGGCTGCATGTCCCTGTCCTCCATAGCTATTCTGCCTACAATGTCCCTGTTTGTCCTGGCCCTGCCATATGGCTCTGCACTACCCTTTGCCCCCAGCCAAAATGCTCCCAACTCCTCCTAGGCCCTTTATTTTCCCCAGGTTTTGGCTGCAAGGAGAGATGCACCTGTCAGAATCTGGGGAAACCTTCTCCATCTTTATGCTTAGTTCCAGTCCTATCCGAGAAGGAGGTAGTTTTGGTGGGGAGGGTGGGGTGGCTGAGGAGAGCAGTCGTGGTACATTTTGGAGTGAAACTCTGTGCTGGACACTGCCATCTATGCATCCTGTGCAGGCTCCACTCCTCTGTGGACAACTGGGGTCTGAGAGCAGGAACAACTTGCTGCAGACACTGATGGGGCTGAACATGCCCTCTTGGCTCCTACCCTAGCCCTACCCCTTCTTGACACATCCAGGGCTGCAAGTTGAGCCCAAGTTCCTGACTCCCTCTGGGAAGACCACTGGGAAAGGTGAGGCGCTCTCCCTGTGTACCCTCAGCTCCCCCTCAACCCCTGCACTAAGAGTGCACATGGCCCCATTGGGCTGTGGTACAGCAACTGCAGACACAGTGCAGCATGGAAGATGCAGGGGAGCGGCTGATGAGACCCCACAAGGCAGGGGTGGGTGGCAGCAGGTGCCCGGTATTGTAGTCAGGGCTCTGCATGGGAGGCCTTACCGCCCTAGTTCTGCTATTCCTGCTGTGTAACCTAGGAAGGACCAAGCCTGGTCCTTCTCTGGATCTCTGCTGCCTTGCCCCTTGTCAGAGGGGTCCTCAGCTTTGACTGCTTGTGGTGGTAAGACCCACCTGAGCCAGTTTCAGAACCCTCCAGCTCAACTCTGGGGCTCCAGCTCCCATGTGGGGCCTTCCATTGTCTCGTTCTGAAAAAGTCAGACATTTTCCCCTCCCCACGACCCCACTATGTTTCCAGAAGTCCTGCTTGCTGTTCCATGTGAAGGCCACAGTGTTATGGCTGCAGGCACACAGCTCACAGGAGGTGGAGGGCAACCAGCATGGGTGGGAACTGTAGACTCCACCATCACTACTTGCCCCTGAATTTGCGAGACAAGCCATCACCCCTGGGACCTGAGAGCCTCTTTTGGGTGGGTGGTCTGGGTTTTCTGCACCCCCCCACACACATCCTCATCCCCACACTGGGTCTCCATGAGGGCCCCTGGTTTTTACAGCTTCCCTCAGAGGAAGCTCCCTCTACTTCAGCCACCGGGAAGATTTATATCTGTACATAAACTGTACTTTTAAAGGAACCCTTCATGGGCTCTACTTGTTATTAATCTAGACTCATAAGAACAGGGTCATCTAGGCCCAAGGAACTGCTGGAATTTCTACTGAAAGTAGATACTGTGCAGCCAAGACATCCTAGTAGAGTGGCCGTGCGAGTCCTGTGGAATTCAGAGATCAGAAAACCCACTCATGGAGGTGACATCTAGGATTCTGTACTCCACGCTTTCCAGTTACCTCCAAAACTATGCTCTGCCACTCAGACGTGGAGAGCAGACATGCATCTGTGAATCACCTGCTCTATCCCCAGCCCTGTACTACATGATTTACACACACTGAGGAACTGCGAGCTCCAGGGACTGTCATAACATCCTCATCGATACCTTCATCAGCCCTTACCTTACTAGGTTAGGAAACTGAGGTTAGAAGAGGGGAGATTGGTCCAAGGGTAGACAGCTGGGAGGTAGCAGTGCCACCTGAGAAAGAAGGCCTGGGAAGCAAACACCAAAGTTCCAGCTCACAGCTCCTTGCATTTACACAGTGCTGCCACGGCCGCCCAGCCTTGGGGATCCCCCGCTCCTCTGACCATTGCTGGTGGCAGCCCTTCTCCAGGGGATACCTCCCTGCTCCCCAGGTTGACCCAGGAAGTGGGGAGTCCAGGAACATAGGCAGGCCTCTGCCATGTCACAAAACATGGCACAGAGCCACTGGCTCTTGAGGCCTAGCACAGATGGCCCATTCTTGCTTCACTAGGTTCCCCAAATAGACCTGGAGACAAACTGGATTCCTGATTCTCATGGCAGATAAAGTCTTGATGGACGTGAGTCAGGGTGACACAACGAACAAGAGGCAGGGCTAGACCTTGCCCCCTTTTCTCATTTGGTATGAGACCAATAGCCAAGGAACTTTCTATCTATCCATCCATTCATCCATCCATCTACCCAATCTCCACATATCCACCTATCATTCATCCATCTCTGTCTGTCCAACCCTCCATATTGCCATCTACTCTCCATCTTCCATCCATGCATACAACTTCCCAGGTATGCATCATTCCAGTCTTTCACCATCTGGTTAATCCTTCCACATATAACCACCCAACCAGTCTCCCATGTATCTGACTTGTTTCATGAGAGATGAAGTTGGAAAGATTAAGAAGGGCTAAAGCCAGGGGAGTTTTGAATGGATTGCTACCTATTTCCTGGAAGCATCACTTGGCTATTTCCTAGGGCCAGGTGTAAA